AGGTTTTACGGTCGTAAAACTAGGTTTTACGGTCGTAAAACCCAGTTTATCGTCTTAAAACCGGGTTTTTCGAATATTGGCACAAACCGCTTTCCATACACGCAAGCATGAACACATCTCATGAACATAACGGAATCGGTTAGTCGCGTTCAAACAGGTATATTATCTGTTCGCTGAGTCGACAACTAATACGCTGGTTAAGCAGTAGCGTTCTGTAGCAGTAGAAGTAGCAGTAGTCGTACTGTAGCAGTAGCAGTAGTCAAAGCAGTAGCAGGCTCGTTTCTGTACAGGCAACGTTAGATTGCCACCTCGATGCACCAGTAGGAGAAGTTGAAATTTACAAATAGCATAATATCACCAACAAAGACCACACGTTAATGAAAATCGGGGCAAGAGAACATACACATATGCATCACAAACTGCACTACACGCAAAAGTTTAAGATTAATTTATTATAATACGCATGCGTTTACGCGTAGCGCGTGAAAGCTTACGTACACTGGCAGATTAGCCGTCGCTTCCTATAAAGTCTAGCTGATATATCGACTCCTCGCTGCTTCTTCCTCTGTACACTACAGATAAGCACCAATCACACGCGCACACTCGCTCGCTTTCACAGTATCACAGTACACTATAACGCGAGAAAATTATGGGACAAGTTTATATAGAGAGAAAGAGAGAAAAAAGGAGAGAGAAAGAGAGAGAGAGGGAAAAAAATTATATGGTTATATATATGCGTGTTATAATATAATTAACCGGGTTAATATAATGCGTGCTACTGACCAGCTGAGTATCAGGCAACGCTTTCGACCTCCCCGTGACGGTTACGCGTTCACATCTTGCATTTCGCTGTCACGTCACACTGGGGGCATGCAGGGCAAGACCTTTCTTTTTCTAATTGTCTCACTCTTTTTCTCTTTCTCGCTTTCTTGCTCGCGCGCGCGCTCTTTCTGTCTTATTTCTCACGGGGTGTTTCACTCATCGCGTGATGACTGTGTTCGACGAGGGCTGTTAAACACAACTGGTATAAGAAAGAGAAAGAGTAAGATGAAAAGAATCGGCAAACTATAGGTACCAGCCGCGAACTAGGTACCAGATCGAAATTAGTACAATAATTATTGAGCTTGTCACATATCTTCCCTGTTTATGTTAATAGATTATAAGTAAACGACGTTGTTTACGACGTATGGGCGAGATTTATGATGGCATTTGGGCTTCGGCAATTTTGTTTAGCTTCCTTTCGTCACTATGCATCAGACGTAGGTACACGAGGTCATAGTTTTTTTCCCAGTTTATTGTCTTGGCGAATCGTTTAGTTATGGACGCAAACGCGCGACACCTGACCTACTACTCTCCTTATGTTTCTGCGCGAATGTCAATGAGTTATGTAACCGCTTAGAATTCAAGCGGTGTCTTTCCTGCATGGCGCTAAAGTTGCGCACAGACAGCAGGTCACTATATTGGTGTTTGGTATGCAGCACTCACTACTAACACCGTAACACTGTTTCCATGGGCAAGTCGACACAGCAATGATGTGAGCACACTACACGCGAGCGTGCGCGCGCAAACACAAACACACACACACACACACACACACACACACACACACACACACACCTACTCACGAGTTAATGACCGCAAGTAGCTGGTAAGGGGCAGTAGACAGGAGACGGATCGTCGTGGGGGGCACTAGAGGTAGAACAACGTCATCACTGATCGGCATAAGTTACAAGCCAGGGGGCCGTTGTCAGAAACAAAATTAGTCCGCAACATTAGTCTTACCATAACTTCCACTCGTAAACAGTTGACAGAAACATCGTAGGTTACGAGAACGAAAAACTGTCGCAAATATCCTCATAACATTACGAGAGCTCAGACCCCTCTCGTAACTTTAATGATAAAGTTTAAAAATAACACATTTACACTACGCCATTAACAAATTATAGTGCATATTATCAATTTTATAATAAAGAATAAAATGTGTGTTTTTCATTGAGAAAAACACGTCAAAATCATTAATTATCTACAAGCTAATAAAACAAAACAATACATTTACAAAATGGCGTTGGCATTGTTCTTCTTGTCTAAAGGTTTCCCACGCTTGCCACGACTCTCGCGTCTCGCGTTAGCAGTGTGGTGACTTTGTCTTGTTGTGCAGGAATTAATTCATGACACGTCCGTTTTTTCATCAGAATTATTCTAACTATCGTGGGTTTAGCAATCATATATATGCATAACTTAGCTGTAGATGTACACATAAATGTGTATGAATTTGAAATTTTGTTGATATGATTTCATCCATCAGCCAGCCTTGTGATGAGTTCCTGTATCATAAGTGTTCTAATAGCTTGCGATGTGTTTCTGTCAACGCAGTCTCGGCAACACATTAGCAGCTTAGTGCGTTAACGTGTTATCGTAGGCATTAACTTTAGCATAACTTTACGATGTTTCTGACAACGGGCCCCTGACCTCTAATATCACGTTCCGAGCAAAGTCGACAAATGTCATGATCACTACGGATAAATTTTGCTACGCACGCTTGCAAATTTGCATTCGCTGCGTCTCTATACGCTCCAATTAACAGGAAAACATATCGCCAAATATATCTTTTGATGCCAAATCGAAATTCAACCAAAGCCAAATATCGAAATTGCAAAATGACTATATTATTTCATAGATCCGATAACAACACTCCGAGTAACAACTGACGTCGGTTGCATCACGCAGACGATCGCGTGCATAACGTAGACGCGCGCGTGTGTGTGTGCGTGCGTACGCGCGCGCGTGTGTGTCATTTTCATGGTGACAAACAAACCTGAGAAGACGTAAACTCTCTAACATCTATTCGACTGAACCATCTAAATAAAATTCATCAAATCGTTTAGATTTTGCATCATTGCATCAATCATTGCACGTTCTTTTGTGTCAACGGTGGGATTCAGACGTTACCTAATAGCATATACGCTCATCGTTCTTGTAACACATAAAGGAACAATAAAATATCGAAATTCTAAAATGTCGAGATATTATTTCATAGACTTTGCATTCCTGAACCAGCACACGTGTAGCAATGGAGAACTGTTACATTACTCACGGCCTTTTATGTGAGTATTCTACATGGGCTCTAGTAACAGTTAGCCTACTAGTATTAGTAATAGTAGTACTATGTTACTAGTATGTAGAAGGCAATGGTTACGGATCCAAACGTGTATCTTTAGCAAGAAACACGCCTGTATCTTTAAGCCGGTCTTATGTCGGGCTTGCGACGCGAAGCGATTGGCTTGCGACTGGTTTTCTGCAATTTTCTGCAACTGGTTGCAAGTCGCAGCGACGATCGCGTCGCAGAGAAAATTCGACCTAAGCACCCCTGCGACTGCCTGCGACTGCTTGCAACTGGAAAATTGTCAGTCGCAACGTGATCGCAGCGAGTCGCACATGTTCTACTCCTGCGACCAGTCGCAGCAACGCGTATTGTTTTCATGGTTACCACCCGACATAAGCTGCCTTGTGATCGCTGCGACGAGATTCAAATGCATAAAAGCGAACAATGCGAATGAAACAATCAGTGCATACTATACACAACATCTACACAGCAACAAGTCATGTAAACTCATTTAGTGGCGCGATCAATCGGCGAAAAATTGGCTCAAATTCTTACCTGATAAGATTGTTTCGCAATTAGTTAAAAATCCAAAAACCCTGGGCGATTTAATATATTGATCGCGACATTAAATGCTTGTTATGGGCTATGTATGAGTAACGAGTGTTTGTTTACATCAAACGGAGTAGCAAAATAGGAAGTATAATATGCAGCAATTTAACCATAAACGTCAGTAAAAATTTAACAGAATCACTTGCATTTTGGGAAAATGTGGACATATTTTTTTTCTTTTATTATTTACGGTGACGTATTTACTTTATCAGCGACCGGGACCCGGAACCCGGAACCAGAAACCAACACGCGATTTAAAAAAATAATATTACCTCTTCAGGCAAACCTAACGTATAAATCAGCTCTTCCTGATCCATTGACGCTTCTAAGTCACCGTCGTATCCAATAGCTGTCTCCGTGTCAAATTCATCTTCGTACGTATCTATTCAGTAGTAATATGCCAGTATAAACGGTCGATTTGCTGATTATATACTAAATACACGAAGGGGGTCTTTACTGTGGCAAGGGTATATGTAAACATACGTATCTATCTATCGATCTACTTATCTATCTATCTAGCTACCTATCTATCTATCTATCTATTTATCTATTTATCTATCTATCTATCTATCTATTTATCTATCTATCTATCTATCTATCTATCTATTTATCTATTTATCTATCTATCTATCTATCTATTTATCTATCTATCTATCTATCTATCTACCTATCTATCTATTTATCTATCTATCTATCTATCTATCTATCTATCTATCTATCTATCTATCTATCTATCTATCTATCTATCTATCTATCTAT